TTTCAAGAATGCGTAAGATCGGGCCCCTGTTTAGAATTAGGCATGTCTTCTCAGAGAAGAGAGTGGGCCCCACGGTGGGCACCAAACTGTTGATGTCCATGAACACACAGTCAAGGGGGTTACGGTTCTGGTCTTCATGCTGGTGGCGGATAAGGAGAGTATGAGAGATGGGGCCGACTCCTCCTCCGACTTTATGCCCGATCCTTAGACTGGAATTCCTGATCCTACTGCACATACAAGGAGAAACTCGTAGGAGGGCGGAGCTCATTTCCCCCGTGGTACCTTCGACGGTCAAGTCAGATGGGGGACTTGAGTAGGGTTTGAGGAAGAGTCTCTGGGCCATTGAGGTCCTTAGAGGATACTCTTTGAGAGTTATTAGTTCTCTTTTTTAAAGATAGAAATCAGAGCTTTAATAAAGTAGCAGCAAAAAAGATCTCCCCTCCTTCGTTACCTTCTTTTCCTCCTTTTTATAGCCCATTGCCTCTGAGAGTTTGATCCTTGGCTTTGACTATGCACAGGAGACGGTTGAGGGGTGAACGGACAGGTTGCTAAGTCACCCTTCCTCTTCCAGATGGCGACTGGTGATTGGAAGGGAAGTCACTCGGGTACAAGAGAGAAAGGTCTTCTCAGTATCCTGGATTTGACAAATGAGGCAGGGCAGAGGATAGGCCAGCCACAGATGGCGGTTGGTGATTGGAGGGAAAACTATTAGAGCCCAGGAGAGCATCATGGCGATCTCTGGGAAGTGACTTGTGAGGAGAATAAACGGCTTATGCATGGGATTTGTCAGAGCGAAGATCTGGATAGGACTGATCAATGTTGTAGTGCCGATTAATATCTGAAGCGAGCTTAGTCGGATCTTATCCCCTTAGTCAAGGCGGGTTGATTTTGTGAGTCATTATTATGATTTGCCGACTCGATAGTCAAGTGAGCTTTGGGCCGAGTGTATGGTCGAGACGTCTGTTCGAGGAATTATCTTAATTACGAGGGATCGACTAGTCCCGTACTTCGAGTCGGTAATGATGACCCTTGGTCGAAAGGTGACTCGTCTGCATAGCTGGCCGATAGATTTGCCCTTGACTGGGCTTTTGGGCTTCTAAGCTGGTTTGGACCATTCCCTTTTTAAGCCTATGTAGTCAATCTCCCGACTTCTTTATCTGTAGATGGTAAATTACCATAACAATATATATATATATATACGCAACACTTCTAACTTATCGACTCTCGTCAATAGAGCGATAAGTCCTCAAAGTTGCTCCAATCGCAACACTTCTAACTTATCGACTCTCGTCAATAGAGCGATAAGTCCTCAAAGTTGCTCCAATCGCAACACTTCTAACTTATCGACTCTCGTCAATAGAGCGATAAGTCCTCAAAGTTGCTCCAATCGCAACACTTCTAACTTATCGACTCTCGTCAATAGAGCGATAAGTCCTCAAAGTTGCCCTGAACGCAACACTTCTACCTTATCGACTCTCGTCAATAGAGCGATAGGTCCTCAAAGTTGCTCCAAACGCAACACTTCTAACTTATCGACTCTCGTCAATAGAGCGATAGGTCCTCAAAGTTGCTCCAAATGCAACACTTCTGCCTTATCGACTCTCGTCAATAGAGCGACAAGTCCTCAAAGTTGCTCCAAACGCAACACTTCTGCCTTATCGACTCTCGTCAATAGAGCGATAGGTCCTCAAAGTTGCTCCAAACGCAACACTTCTGCCTTATCGACTCTCGTCAATAGAGCGATAAGTCCTCAAAGTTGCTCCAAACACAACACTTCTACCTTATCGACTCTCGTCAATAGAGCGATAAGTCCTCAAAGTTGCCCTGAACGCAACACTTCTACCTTATCGACTCTCGTCAATAGAGCGATAAGTCCTCAAAGTTGCCCTGAACGCAACACTTCTACCTTATCGACTCTCGTCAATAGAGCGATAAGTCCTCAAAGTTGCCCTGAACGCAACACTCCTACCTTATCGACTCTCGTCAATAGAGCGATAAAACCACAAAGTGCGAATAAATAGTTGTTGTCGCAATATTAAATTGGTATTTCATTGTTCCATGTCAAAACATGATATGAAAAAGAAACAATAAAAAGCCAAACGGCTTTTTTTAAAATATTTTCAAAACCACCTGCCGGCAGGAATTTAATAGCTTCATGGGAATGCATAATAAATTAACTCATCATAATGAGCATACTGGATCCTATCTAGACATCCATCATTTTCCTAAATGAAATTTAGCAACCCAATGTTTCAGGTTGTGTAGCGCTTGCTAAACAAGCTTAACCATCACATCAAAGCATACTAAATTATCAAATCGAAAATGATAATATCATCAAGTCAAAGGGACCATGTAACAATTTGAACTCTCTATCTCTTAGGTGACTCATCCTAGAGAATTCAAATACGGTCTAGTGCTACACACATCATAATGCGTGCTTATGACATACACCCGGAGAATCTCCATTCTCGATGGTTGAGACCCACCACCATATCTCATATATCGGTGTCATGCATAATAACCTGTTATAACAAAGTTATCCTTTACTAGTTATAGGTTAAGCACAAATTTAAGAAATTTCTAAGTTAGATCATATTTCCAAGCAAGTGACCATCACAGTGCATGATCTAACAAAATAACTTCTAAGGATATATATAACAATTATATAAATAATAACCAAATTATGTGCAACAACTAAATTTATTAACATTACAATATTATTACATAATTTGTATTGGATGTTCAAGGGCAAATTATTATTACTATTCCAGCACCAGTATCCTAATGAAAGAATTCATACGTTTGTCACTCATAATAGCGAAAGTAGAAAAGAAGGATAAATTCATACGTTGCGCTTTACAGGATCATGCAATATAAATTCATACGTTGTGCCTCTATGGAAGAAAACTTACTTTTGATTAGATAAATAGGTAAATAATTTTAGTTTAGTATAGATTAGAACTAGTATGCACCCGTACAAAGCACAACCCCTATCTTTTAAGTACTGTGTTTAATGAAACAATTGATAATCAGCAAACCCCATATTTAAAGAAGAATTTCCTCTTGTTACAATCAAGCATCTCAACCAAACTACAGCTTAAATTCTTGTCTTTAAGAAGCTTATACCGAAACTCCAAGATAGAAAATTATTAAAACTATTACAAACCATGCCATTCCAGTATATCTAGCATTACAAAATTAATAAAACAAAGCACAACCCCTGTGGCTTTATGTGTTAATGTGTTCCTGTTCGCAACTATAAAAACTTGCATCCGCTGAAGGGTTCCTATTATTAGATGTATAGCAGTCATTTGTGCTTTTGAATCTGCTGCCATCCCGTGTTGCACTGGCCATCTGTTGAGCAGCATTTGCAATTCTTAAGGCGCGCTTTAAGTAGAGGAGGACCGAAGTCATATGCAACAGGTTCTAGGTCGATGGCGAGATCGCGGAGGAGGAGGGCTGAAGTCGGAGGAGGTCGTCGGCCGGGGGGGGGGAAAAATAAAAGAAGATTTTTTATGGGGGAGGGTGAGCCTTCGTTTGATTGAGGCCAGCTGGAGGTGATTTTTACAAAAAACATCCTGCAGCTCGCGCAAACGAACGAGTACGTACGCATTGATCCGTATGAGAAACGGACTATATATATATATATATATGTGTGTGTGAGAGAGAGAGAGAGAGAGAGAGAGATCTAGGTAAGACATATTTCTACTAAGCTAAAAGTTACATTGCCCATTTCGAAGTACCCAAGTACCAAATATCAAACATTATTTTAGAAAATAAAAACAAACAAGTAATTTATATTGATAAGGATCGTGTGTGAGATAGAATGGTTCATCAATGGATCATGACATATTATAATTTATATTGTAGAGTATATATATTTTGCGATGTTTTGAATGAGCCTAATAAAGCAGTGATTTCAAAACATGAAGACGTGTATGAGTCAATTGCAATTGTACTTAGTTAAGTACATCTTCTACGTCTCATTAAAGTTCTTGATTGTTGTTATGACAAACTCCCCAAGATAAGCTAATATCAATCACACGAGAGCACGAAAAATATCAAGAACACACGAACATAAAGATATACGTGGTTCGGCTTGTAGCCTACCTCAACGGGCGAAGGAGGAGAAAAGCTTTACTAATTGTGAGGAATACAAAGTGGAATCTCTCCATCCTAAATCACACCCTAAAAGCCTAATACAACTCTCAACTAAAGAAACAAAAGAGAAAAATATCAAATAGGCTTCACAAAAGAACTCTCTCTTTTTGATTGGTGCTCTCAAGATTGATGATCTAATTGGCTTGAAAGACTATTCTTATATAGCATTGAAGATTCCAACTCCTTGTTGTCTAAGGAATAAGAGTTCCAATAGGAATAGAAGTCCACATGTCCTAAGACCCAACAAGAGTCCAAGTAGAAATAAACCTCTAATATGTTTGGTTGTGCAAAGTCTAATGTAAGTAGGACTATTGATCAAAACAAACCAACCTAAAAAGGGATTCCGAAAGCAATATGGATATGAGTATTTGAGGCAACCTATAACAATTGTATTGAATATAAGAGAATCACTAATAATATCGTCCTTTTATATATAATGTGACACTGCTATTATGAATTTCTGACTCTGCCCCCTACGCTTATGGTCTGGACGGTTAGGAAGTTTCAATATAGCTCTCACGATTTTAGGTTCAATTTTATGTTGAGTTATCAAGAAAATATCGTCAAATCATTTAGATAATTTGGATAGCTTTAAAAGTCTTCTAACGTATGAATTATATATGTATAGACACACACATGTACAGAGGGTTAAACAAAGATTAACTTGCCAGCTATGAAAAATAAACATATAAAAATCAATAGCTCGATTTGTCTCAATTGTCAAATAGAACATAAGCAGAGCATTAAGATAATCCATTTACACAGTTTAAAGTGAGGTAATCCATAAAAATGAGAGGTGTACTAATCCACAATGCAATTCAGCATAGATGAGCTAAGCCAAAAAAAAAAAAAAAAACCTTAATCTAGAAGCAGATCGAATTGTGGACAAACGGGCCACCCCTGCCCTAAAGTTATTTAACAATAATCCCCACAAGTTACAACAGAACATTACCATCCCTAATAGATGGAACAACAATTTCAACCAGCTTCATACTCAGTGGATGAGATAGGTCAGCGCAAGAGCCAACAACATCAACCCATAGGCAATCCCTTGATCAAGTGTAACCCCTGCACGCAAATGACAAGAAAACAAAGGAAAAATTAAATAAAACAAAACAAAATAAAGAAAATCATTTTACAGTTGATATGTAGTGATAATTAATTACACATAAGCAAGAAAAAATATGGGTGCTATAAGAAATTACCATCACTTGTGGGAACGGGAGCCGGACCTTGGGCCTGTGCAGCTGGGAAAATAAAGCCGACGAAGAAGAGAGGAAAAACAACCATCAAAGCCATAGCAATACCCGCCATTTTAAACAAATAAAGTAAAAAAACTCCTCTTTCTCTCTCAACTCTCAGCAGATAATTCTACAGAGAGAAGAGAAAGCTAGAGAATTAATAATATGTTTTAAAATCTCTCTCTTCATGGAGACTTCAAGAGGAGACGATCAAAATATATAGTGGAAGAAAAAGGAGAAAACTCCGGCAAGCCACTTCTTTTACTGGGTTTTCCTTTATTTGCGAGAAAAAAAATTGTTCGATGATCTTTTTTTTGTGGATTAATAATAACCAGGCTAATTAAAGCAATATTATTCTTTTGTCTTGAATTTGACTCCCGGACGTCGCTACTTTGGAACCCCGAGAAGTTCCTGTTGGATAGTAGTATTCCTAATCTATTTTGGTAACATGAGATTATTAGGATTCCTAATCTACTTTAGTAACATGGGGTTATTAGGATTCCTAATTTGTTTTGTTTTTTGTTTTAGGATTCCTAGTCTGTTTTGATTTTAGTTTTTGGTTATTAGGATTCCTAATTTGTTTTGTTTTTTGTTTTAGGATTCCTAGTCTGTTTTGATTTTAGTTTTTCTATATATATGGAGATTAGAATCAATCATGTTTTAGGATTCCTAGTCTGTTTTGATTTTAGTTTTTCTATATATATGGAGATTAGAATCAATCATCAAAGAGAGGAGAGTTGTAATAAGAGATTAGAGAGACTTTGGTTGAGGGTTAGTTTGTGAGTTTTGTGAGATTGTAACCCTTTGTACTCTCATTGATTTAGTAGAATCTCCTCATCCTCTCCCCGTGGACGTAGGCAATTTGCCGAACCACGTAAAATTAGTTGTCTCGTTATTTGTGTGATTTGTAATAGCTTATTTAGGTCCCCTCGACAGGTCAGTCCTAGAACTGATGAGAGAAAAAACTGATATCTCACTTGGTTGAGATATTTTGCTTAAGGTTCTTGCTTCCTTGGTGAAACAGGAATTCCTATTGCGATCTGACTCTCTTGATGTGCTGCCGAAGTGCTGCCGAAATTTTCGCTACGTGCAACAAGTGGTATCAGAGTCCAGATTTCAGATCTAGAGTTTTTGGAATTAGGTGGAGGAAGATTCTTATATGAAGCTTGGTTCTTGGAGTTCTAGGCTTCGGTGGAGATAGGATTTGAAGTTGCCGTTGGAGATCTTGCTTTCCTCGTGTGGTTAAGAGTTCTATTTGGAATCCAATCTAGGGTTCAATTGGGTAATTTCTTATTCCTTTCAAAGTTTGAATCTTTCTTTATAATTTGGAGTTAGTTTGCACTGGGAGAAGAATGTGAAAGCAGTAAGTCGAAGGCGAGTACAGTTCAAGTTGGTTTTTAGAACACCAAAATTAGTGTGATAAAGTATGACGGTAAAATCAACTTTGGTTTGTGGATGAGCGACGTACAGGATACGCTCAATGCTCAGAACTTGGAAGAGACCATCATGGTCCATGAGAGACCACCAAAATATGAAGAGACGATATGGGAAAAGATGAATAGGAACGCTTGTGGGGTGATCAGGTCCTGTTTGGAACAGGAGCTGAAGTATGATATAATTGGGGTGACGTCTGTGATGAAGATGTGGGAAATTCTTAACAATAAGTACATTACAAAGAATGTTGAGAACAGGTTGCATTTGCTACGTAGGTTATTCAGATTCCAGATGTCCAGAGGCACCTCGCTTGCGGCTCATGTGAACAACTATACGAAGTTGTTGTCGGACTTGGCGAATGTTGATGAGAAGATATCGGATGAGTACAATGTGATTATCTTATTGGGCTCCTTATCGGATGAGGAGTATGACACCTTTGTGCTCACTTTTTTGAATGGAAGATCTTCTATCAGCTATAGTGAAGTTACTAATGCATTGACGAATTATGATTTGAGAAGGAATGACAACGAGACTTTCCGCGCTAGTGTTTCAGGAGAGGCCTTGTCGACGAGAGGAAGAAATCCATATCTGAAAGGTAATAATAGAGGAAGGTCAAAGTCAAGAGGTCGTCACCAGCTAGGAAAGAACCAATATGCATTCTGCAAGGAACAGAGACATTGAAAAAGGGATTGTCCAAAGATCAAAGAGAATGAGCATAGCAAGAAAAAGGGCCTGAATGCCAATGAGGTGAACGTTGCGAAATGTGATGATTCCGATGATTCGAGCTTTTCTCTATTGATTACTCCGGAGGTGAACCACTTGGATGCATCAGATTGGATGCTTAATTCCGACGCTACCTATCATGTGACCCCTAGGCAAGATTGGTTTGCATCGTTCGAGAGACTCGATGGGGGTGTTGTAGTTATGGAAAATGATCAATCCTGTGGTATTTGTGGGATAGGTACCGTGAGGATTCGGATGCACGATAGAGTAGTCCGTGAATTGAAGGAGGTGAGATTCGTTCCTCAGCTGAAGAAGAATCTTATCTCAGTTGGAGATTTAGAGGCAAAGGGATTCAAGGTGACCTTTGAAGACGCTGTAGCAAAGGTTACTACGGGATCTTTGGTGGTGATGAATGGAGTCCGTAGTCAAAATTTATACTATCTGAAGGGGAGCATCGAGATTGGCCAGGTTGTTTCGGCTATTTCAGAGGCGGACATGAGCAGGTTTTGGCATTACAGGTTAGGGTACACAGGCGAAAAATCACTGCAGGCGCTGTGCAAGCAGAGACTATTGAAGGGAGCCAAAAGTAGTAAAGTGAAGTTCTGTGAGTACTGTGTACTTGGCAAAAAGACGAAGGTAAAGTTCGGAACTACTATTCATAGGACGAGGGATATCCTGGACTACGTGCACACAGATGTTTGGGGTCCCACCAAGACTGTATCACTTAGTGGTCGACATTGGTTCGTCACATTCATTGATGACTATTCTAAGCGTTGTTGGGTGTACACCATAAAACATAAGAATAAAGTCCTAGATTTATTTGTGGAGTGGAAGAAGAGATTAGAACTGTAGACTGGGAGAAAGATCAAGATATTACGATCCGACAACGGTGGTGAATATACTTCAGACCCCTTTCTGCAGCTATGTCGAGACGAGGTCATAGAGAGGTACTTCACGGTTAGTCATACACCACAGCAGAATAGGGTAGCAGAGAGGTAAAATCGGTCTTTGCTGGAAAAGGCCCAATGTTTATTGTCGCAGAGTGGTTTGGAGAAGATCTTTTAGGCTGAGGTACTTACATATGCGAGCCACCTCATTAATAGGCTGCCTTCATCTGCGATTGAGGGGAAGACCCCTATGAAAATATGGTCGGGAGAGCCAGCACATGACTATGACCAGCTCAAGGTATTTGGGTACCCTGTATTTTATCATATGAGAACAGATAAATTAGAACCTCAAGCTAGGAAGGTCATATTTGTAGGATTCAAGTGTGGTGTCAAGGGATACAAGGTTTGGGATCCAGTTGATAAGAAGATTGTGCTGAGTAGGGACGGCACGTTTGATGAGGCTTCTATCTTGAAGCTTCCCAACTCTCATCAGGTGGAGAGCGACCCGACAGAGGAGATATCACAGATGGTGGAGATCGATGCAGCTACATATTGTACAGATGGTACAGTATCCATTAGAGTGCTGACTGAAGTGACGCCAGACGAGCACGATGGTGACACGAAGGATATGGGTATTGATGAGCAGGATCAGGGACCGACGGCTCAGGTTCAGGATTCTATTGTCGTTCGAAGATAGAAGAGAGACATACGGATGCTAACACGGTATACCAACACAGTTGTGTATGTACTTTCGGTGGAGAGTATCGATGAGATGGTGCCTACTACATTCAGAGAGGTCGAGCAGAGTTCGAAGGCTGATTCAAGTCAGATAGCTATGCAGGAGGAGATGGAGTCTCTTCATAAGAATGATACATGGGAGCTGGTTGAGCTTCTAAAGGGACGGAAGGTAATTGGTTGCAAGTGGGTATACACGAAGAAGGAGGGCATTGATGGCTCTCCATTGAGATTCAAAGCTAGGTTGGTTGCGAAGTGTAAGGATCATGAATTTTGATACTAGTTAAAATAATTTTTTAGTATTTTAAAATATTTAATTATGATTTTTAGAAGAGTATTTACATTTTTCTTAAATTTCTATAATTTTCTATGATTTAAAGTCTAAGTTTTATATTTATTTAAATGATTTTAATATTTATAAATTTATTTTGTGCGGTAAAAATTTCTAAAATTTATTTGTTGTGTTATCGGTACTATTACATATTATTTTAAATAATATGTTGTATTATTAATATTATTACATATTATTTTGTATAATACTTTGTATTATTAATTACGTATTATTTGTATAATTTGTTGTATTATTTCTACTAATACATATTATCTGACGTATTAGTATAATTGGTACGTTTTCCTGTGTATATAATTATCCCATAATTATTTAATTTTAAATATAAGTAAATATATTTTTATTATTAATTATTCTCGTTTAATTGTACAAAATGTGTGTATTTCGACTATTTTGTATCAACTATTGAATTAGCACAACATGTTCGTTTTTATTTATAGATAATTACTCTGTAATTAGTTTAATTTTTAAGTACCCGTATTTATTTATTTTAATTATTTTCCCTTCAAATACCTAACCCAAATCCTAATTAATATATATATAAAAATCATATCCTCTCTCTCTCTCTCTCACTCTCACGTCTCAATCTCTCTCTCTTCAACTCTTCTCTCTCTCTCTCTCTCAATTATTCTCTCCAGCTCACCATCTCACTCTCTCTGTTCATCTCTCTCATTCTCTCTCTCTCTCTCACTCTCTCTGTTCATCTCTCTCATTCTCTCTCTCTCTCTCTCTCTCTCTCTCTCTCTAAGATGGGCAACAGCCTTCGTTGTTGTATAGCCTGCGTTCTTCCGTGTGGGGCCCTCGACGTCATCCGAGTCGTTCATCTCAACGGCCACGTCGACGAGTTCAGCCGGCCGGTTTCGGCCCGTGAGATCCTCACGGCCCATCCCGGTCACGTGCTCAGCACGCCCTGCTCCTCGAACGGCGGCGTTGCGGGTCGGATCTTAATTGTGTCGCCCGAGTCCGAGCTCAAACGGGGTAGTTTCTACTTTCTTATACCCTCTGTATCCGTACCGGATAAGAAAAAGAAGAGTAAGGCCCACAAGAGTTCTAAG